CGAACAAAGGTCTGCGATGTATGTTATAGCTGGCAAACTGGGTTCTTTCTTTTTTATCTCATTTTCGGTCATTTTGAAGTGTGTAGTCTTCCGTCAGTTTGGCTGCGGCACATGTCAAACTGGGTGGCTTGCACAATTTCTGGAATTTGTCCAATAAGCAATACTAAAAGTTTAGCTCCTCAAGGCAGTACCTCGTGACTTCAACAATTTAGTGCGATGTCAGTCGGAGCGCCTTATCTGTTTCTATTGTTAAAGCGCCAGTATCCCTTTTGACGCTGCCCCATATCGAGGAGCTCTAACTGCATGTCTGTCAAAGCCCTGACTGGTTCTTTATTGGGGTCCCGAAGGCGCTGGTCCTTGCAAGAAGTTTGTACATTGACAATGCTCCACCACTAATGTACCAGATCCAGTGTTGGAACTCACGCGTTGCAAGTAATGGCGTTACTGGTAACGCGTTAGTTTTTTGACTAACGCAGTGACGTACCCGTTACAATCCCAAATGACTAATGAGTAAAGTAATGTCGTTATTATTTTACGGTATTTCCTATCAAATTACGGTACCCGTTACTCGTTACCTGTGATTAAATGGCCGTATGGTGCTTTGAAAACAAAATAATTTTTGTTCTGTACACTACATAGAAGTGGCAAAAAAAACCCCAGCAAAGTTATGTATAAGCGGCGTCATTTCAAACTCCTTCGCAAAACACACTTAACACTCACATGACCGGGCACAAAAGGCTCGAGATTATGGCTGCGCGGAACCCCTAAGCGTCCTTGGTGCAGTCTTTGTATAGAAGCTGCTAAGATCACCGTCGCCGTACCCTGAAGGAGCAGCCGTCTTGCTGGAAAGAGACATCCGTTCTAAAGGCAACAGTCTGCCGCCGTTCTAGGGATTTTTCTTCAGCGTCCCTAGCTACTCCAGCTGGTCACATCCTTTTCTTAAAACAAATGTATTCTCGTTCTGTCAACAACAGAAAGAGCGTTGACGTTCCTATGCTTTGAACCAAAAAAGTGTGTCAGCGGTGGACGGGTGCTGACGCGTCGTTATGGAAATGCGACGTTGGGTTGCGAAGGAACAAAATAACGTGTACTTTACCGGATTAACTTTAATTACACGAGGAAGTCTATTTTGCGTCCGTTACGTGGCATGCATCCGATCGTTCCTTTCAGAGCGGTTTCTTCATCCCAGGCAGGTGCTATGTGCAAGGTTCAATTATCCTAATCGCGCTCGCGAAGCGTCACAGGTTTGAGGATATACATTACCCATCCTGCCGGGGCCAGACAAACAAACAAGCTGTTGAGGATATACAAATCTGTTATCCGGATCGCGCTGGCGAAGCGTCATGTGTTCGAAGATATACATTACACATCTTGCCGACAGTGAATTTTGTATAAACTTCATCAATGCAATCTGAATTTCTTTCTTACTATTTTTGGCGTTACTGAAATTTTATTATTGTGTGTTGCTATTAATCGTTCATTTCTAGTGTTGGTTGATGGCTTGTGCTGTTTGTGTGAGTTTCCAACGTATAAATATGATCTGTGCCCCACTCCTCTCCTGTTATTCACCGGCCACTACAGAGTACAAATAAATAAATATTCGCTTTCAACAAGTGTATTGTGGCCGAAGTTTATGGAGGCGGTTTATTATGAAAAGCTGTCATATACTAACGGTGAAACACAAAGTAATGATAAACTAACGTAAAAGTAACGTCCGTTGGTCATGGCAAGTAGCCACACCGGTATTTCATTACATCTGCAAGATGGAAACCGAGCTCTGTAATGCGTTAGCTTTTTCCAAGCTACCGAGTAAAGCTATTTCGTTCCTTATTTTCGGTAACGGGAGCTACACTGAACGGGACGTTAACTGCCTGGGATACAATTCACGTAACTTTGCTGAGCCAGCGGAAGGGAAAGTACTTCTTGTCGTCGTCGACGAGTATACTAAGTGGCCGGAAGTACGAGTGGTAAGCAGCATGGCGTCAAGCGCAATAATCAAGGTGTTCCGGAACTTGTTCGCCACGTTTGGAGTATTAAGAAAGATTTGTTCCGATAACGGAACTGCTTTGATTCCCGAATGAATCAGAACTTTCTATAGCATGAACAACACAATCTCAGTCACCAGTGCCCCCTATCACACGGCCAGCAACGGGCAGGCTCAGCGGACGGTGCAGAAGCTCAAGCAAGCGTGAACAAAAAAAGGAAGGCAAAAACTGCCATGCGTGTTGGAGCGCGCTCTATTCAAACAACATACTACAGTGTACGCGACAACCGGAAAGACACCGGTGTGAATGATGTATAGCAGAGCTACCCTCGGCATTCTTAAACACGACAAACAAGAAAATGACTCGCCGCAGTTTATTAAGGACAACCCGTGTGGATTAGACAGCTCCCAAAAGATCGAAAGTGGCTACCGGGCGTCGTAGTACGTTGTGTGGGCCCACGATCCTAGATCGTAGACTGCAAGCAGGGTTAGGTCTGACGCAACATAGACCATATGACACCGTTCTCTGAACTTAGGAGTTGAGAAATTACTTCCACCACCGGGTTGGGATATTTGCTTAGAACAGTGGTTCTTAAATGGGGGTCCGCGGACGCCTCGGGGTCCGCGAAGGCATTCGAGGGGTCTGTTTTCATCAGTTAAGCCCGGCAATAAAAGTTTTTTTTTTCCAGGTGAGAAGAAATGTTTCAGTTTTTGGGCGAGTTTCCTCGTGTGCATGTCAATAAGAAAGGTCTACTTTACACTAGCCCTTACCAAAATCTATTTATTCAAATATTAATAGATTTACCCTATACCTTCCCCCTCCCTTCACCCCGAACGGGGTCCCCCATAATCTCCGCCGATCCACAAGGGGTCCGCGAAACATCGATGGTTGAGAACCACTGGCTTAGAAGATCGATTGAGCAGGCGTTTGGACGCGATTACTTCCGCCCAAACACCAATCAGACAACCAGATAATGACGACGTCAACCCCGTACGACATTTACGTCCACTCGGGACTGCCTCTACATCCGCTTGGCGAGGAACTCCACGCGTCCGTCGACCACCTGACCAATACGGTGACTATGTCTAAGAAGGAAGGGGTATGATCTATCGGCCAGCCCATGGCCTACGAGAAAAACTGCGAGCGTTGCGAGCGCTTGTTTTGGTCTCAGGCACTGGACGCGTGCTGGCATTCAAAAAGACCTACCGATCAGATGACAAATACTAACTCTCTGTTTATTTTCATAGCTGAGGCGACATAACACAACTCGCTGATATATTTGAGATGAACCCGAGAAGGCCTTCGCACTCTTCCGCTTTCGAAAATCAACAAGCCGTAGTTATGATCAAACGCATCGCCTGATAGCCTGAGATATCCGCCCTACGAAAACACGACCGAAGTATAGATATGGTCAAGCTTCTTCCGACGAATATATTGGTGCCTTACCCCTCAGCGGTTGGGGTCGGATATTTATTCCCGGATTACTTGAAGCGCTACTCGCATCTCATAATACACCATGCATTCATTCAGCTATGGGTATCATTAATAAACTGACGCCTCAGTAATACGTTTCTTTGTGTGGCATGTACAGAAATTCTAACCAAATCAATCTCCCGCTTTCGGATGAAGTGAAGTCCTCTGTTAAGGAGACAGAGGGACATGGTTCTACGATTCCTTCGTAGAAACTCTAAGAAACAAAGGGTGTCGTCACGAAGAGGCGCGGAGAAAAATCTTTGCAGGAATTTGGGGACGAAAGATAGGCCATAGTGGCTAGAAAAACGATGTTTCGGGGGCTCAATCTAGGTTAACAAAGCTCAATGAAAACACCAGCATTTAGGTTCTTTGCTCGAAAAAATATTATTAGAGTTCGTTTACACCACTCCATCCCATACAAAAAAAAAAAACGTTTCAAACCAGTCATGGAGAAAATGGTGGACACCGGATTTTGATAAAATTCTACATTGACAACGTTCGTCCAAAATATTAACATCCAGGCCGTAAGAAATAGTTTTGGTTTTCTTTGTTCGCTTTCTCTTTGGCTTGGTCGAGACGCATCGTTTTCTTTCAAAGCCCTCTTGCCATGATTCGGCTAGAGGCAATTGAACATCGGTCACGTTCAGATATCACATTTTAAGAAGAAAAGTTCCAGCTCCTCGCGAATCGAGCTCCATCAACTTCTAATTTGAAAATAAAGCTTTGATATCTGCAACCAACCATTTTCAATTCTGGGGGCTCTGAACACCGCGACATAAACTGCGTGTGTCGGAAATAGTTCCACCCAAGTGATACGGACATCACATGGCGATATCCCAACCATCGTCACTGAACTCATTGTTGAAACTCTGGAATTTGGTGTGGACCATCGTCATCGTGGATCTGAGACTCTTTGACTCGAGAAGTTGAGAATGCACGCGTACCATGAACTCCCTTAGTAAAAAATCTAACATCTATAAGAATGTTTTTGGTCCAATAAACGCATTGGATCAAATAAGATCATACAAGAACCTTATGAGAACATATGAGATTATATAAAGTTATAAGAAACGTCTTATCAGTTTCTTATAACTTGTTAAATAATCTTATATTGTTCTTATAAGGTTCTTGTATGCTCCTATGTGTCCTTATTTGACTATGTGCGTTTATTAGACCAAAACATTTCTTATACATTACATACAAGATTTTTCACTGGGATCACCAGTTTTATGAAACCTCCTTGACACCAGAGGGCCGTCCTTCCCGAAGTGGGACGTTGTTATTCGTACTGAGTTGTCTCAAATAAATTGTCGTATTAAGCAAACAACGGGCGCGACTCATTTTCTCTCCTTTGTTTCTGTGTTTGTTTCTCTGATTTTTCTTTTTTTTTTTTTTTTACATTGAGCTGATAAGAAGGATGGACAGCAAAAGATATCTGGGCCAACCTTGATGGTGCAAGTCGCTATCTAATGAATCCAGGGAGGGGATAAAGAGAGGGTTGCTCTATACTATTGCCAGTTGAATTCGTTGTCTTTCATTTTGTACTGGACGAAAATGCATTTATTTACTGCACAAAGGGCCTTCCTTCAATGAACCTTGTTATCATGTCCAAAGCAACCTCTGGTTGGTCGTACGGCAGTAGGTGACCTGCGTTCCTCACTAGCACCTCTGTAAAATTGCCAACCTGCCTGACGTAGCCTGCCACGTCCTCTCCACTCGGAGTCAACCAGATCTTTCGAGGTGCATTCTTGAAGGCTTTTGCGCCGGACCACGATATTGCTGAGATCATGTTGGCTGTTAACGGGTAAGCAATGATGATGTCCAGTTGGCCATTGTAGATCATCACCTTGTAGTTTTCCATCAATACAGTGAGCCACGGCTTCACTGACTTCATCATGTCTTCGAGGAGGTGGGCTTCGACTGCGTCGCCGTCGTTGAATGTAAGCTTCCCGACGTGGATTGCTTTACGAACTAAAGCTGTCTGCACAAAAGCGTTGTAGTATCCGAGCTGTTTTGGCTGCTTGGATAGGAGGAAGTTGTAATAGAAATCGAGCCCTGTGACATTCTTGAAATAGGAAGGTTCTTTCACGACGTCACCGTTTAAAAGAGCATCGAAGATGTAGAAGGCGTCCAGGTAGCGACCGTCATCGATGAACTGTTTGGCCTTCTGACTCGCTTCACGGATGTAGGCGGCTTGGTTGCTGTCCACTAGTCCAATCTGGTAGAGGAAGTCTGCGTAGTCAAACATCGTACTGGGATCCACCAAGCCGTCGCCAATGGCGATACCTTTCAAGTTGATCTTGACACGGGGCTGCACGGCCGTGTGGATAGCGTAAGCGACGGCAGGAACGTATTTTCCTGTTTGGGAGAACGTGGAACGTCAAATACCCCGAACTATTCGTAAGTAAATTTATCAAAATACAATAATACACGCTACCTTCGCCGAAACACTCGTTACTGACTAAGCAAAACTGGAAGCGTAGTTTTTTTTTTTTTTTAGAATATTAGTTTTATATGAGAAAGTCCCCAGCATGGTCACATTTGAAAGCACTCTACTACCTTCCGCTGCCAGGAGAAAAAAATAAACAGAGCTCTATCACTACATGCATGATTTTCTAGACCTTGCTCGCCTGAAATTGTACTCTGCTAAAAAGAAAATAGTTGCAGTTGTATTTCTATTTATCGATCGAACCATCATGGGATGAACCGAGCTGCCGCGTCATCCTACACCTTGCGTCCACACGACACTCACAAAATCTGAGTTACACTTGGTGTCACCTTAAGTATACCAGCGCAATTCCGACGCTGCAAGCCATTGGGCCCAATGAAACAGCGTTATATAAGGTCAACTTAATCATGTCCGTCAGCTTTTTTTACGTGTGGAGAAAAAAGCGCAGGATAGCGGTGCGTCCCCAGAGTCGGTGACAGCAAAGGCACAAAAGTGATGAGCACCATGACGATGCGATTTTGTCACTGCGTGATTAGCTCCATCAGATCGTATAGCATCGGCTGCGGTAGAATTTAGAGCGAAACGTAGTATAGCATATTTGCATGTTGTCCCGCCAGGGGGCATGTAGGCCATTCCCACGAACGCGGCAATGACGAAGCAAAAACTGGAAATCGCTCAGTTTACGAATCGGAAAGCGAGCCAGTGATGAGCACGTACCGGCGTACGATTCTCCGGAGGCGTAAAACTCGTTCCCGGCAAACTCGTGGAAGAGGGTGAAGAACTGCTGGAGCGCTTCCAGCAGGTCTCTGCCAACGTCTGTCTCGTTGCGTGCGTAGCCCTGGTCCTTCCCGGTGAAGCTGTACCCCGTGCCCACGGGGTTGTCAATGTAGAGCATGGAGAAGCGCCGAGCCCACGTGAATTCTCTCAGCTTTGGGATGCCGCCTTCGGCGACATAGTACGGTCCGTGCTCCGAGAAAAGGCCGAAGAGCGAGGAACCACCGGGACCGCCCTGCAGCCAGAGCACCACTGGAGCTGTTTCTGGGTTCTCCTGAAAGGGAATTTGTCGAGTCGAGCAATATTCTCAAATCTCAATATGGGTGTAAACGAATGAAAAGAGAGTGTGTAACAAAATTTTAAATAAATTATTAGAGAGGTAATATTTTGAACTAATCAAATTGCGCTATCCAGACAATGACAACAAAACGCACATATGACAAGAACCAGCGCCAGTCCTCGTCGTATGTGTGCCTTTTCTCGTCCGTGTTGACTTTATTTGACCAATATTAAAGTATGACCCAACTAGTCTAATCAAGGTTTAAGCGTCGTGTTGTAATTTTGAAAGAAATTTCACCTCGCAATACACGCGATCGCACTGTTTGCTTGAGGCAAGCAAGAAAGAGCTATTGCGGGCTTCTCGTTTAAGTGTAGTTGGTCGTAGAACAAACAATTGCGCGGAGGAACTTGGTCCGTGAATTCTGAACTGTAAATGACATTACTGTGAAACTCAGTGTGAGCGTAGGGGATTTCTTTACATCACGTAAAGGGTGAAGCACCCGTCTTCATAATTTTATATAATTATACCCCCCCCCCCTCTTTTCCCAAACAAAAAAAGAAAACAGTTTCATCCAAAGGTCAATCCTGCTTAAAGGGACACTGACAGGGTATTTATGCTCGCCGAGGTTTTTAGTTGTACGTGACATATGAGAGCTCAACTACCTAGAACAGAATTTGCGGCTCGAAATTCGGTTTCTTTCCGCCCGAAAACCGCCGATCAAGAACTGGCCGGTTCGAGTCTCGCTCACTCTCTTTTCCGCGGTCACGGGCCGTTTTCTAAGGTATCGATGCGACCACCAAATTTAATCAAAGTCGTGGGTCACTGAAAGCACACACTCAATATTAAAAATAGAAAAAAAACGTGAAACCCATTTTTTGTGGCTTCTAAAAAGCTGCAAATACGTTGATTGAAAAAAAAAGTTCCACAGACAACCGGAAGCATTCTGTGCGTGCGTCGTTTCGCGTATCGTGGGACTCGCAGGGACGGCGATGGCAGCGGACGACGGGCGTGGGACCTCTATTTCAGAACTGTCGTTCGCGGTACCGGCGAATTTTGTCTGCCTCTAAAAGAGAAATTTGGGACTGGTCAAAAGAATTGGTATTCATCCCGTACGACACGCCCGACCACCAAGCCGATTTGCACGAAGACGTCGCCGAGCCGTCGCTCCCTTCTTGTGGCTGAAGACATCGCTCGCGCAAACGTCAAGCGCGACGTGTCTACTTCGAGTGGAATATGCACGCGTACGATTTCTTTACTGGGTGAGAATGTCGCCAATGCGTGGTGCATCCCGACTTTCCAACTTACAGTTTATCGGTTGAATTATTACTAAGGAAAAAGATACCCCACTTCCGATATGCCCCAGTAGCTCATTCCACTTCTGGCTTTCACCGAGTGCGGACGTGGGATGGCAGGCTCCGCCGGAGTAGCGATAGCGGCCCAGTCGGGCCGCGGTGACAGGAATGACTCTGCGTCTTCGGAGTATCAGATAATTTTGCCGCCTCTGCCAACTGGACCTACGGTGCTCAACACCGTGTTTCTTCACGCCGATGTCCGGGGACGCCCGTACCGTGTGGAGGACTTCCGCGACACCCTGAGTCGTCTGGCACTGCTCCCCGAGGTTCTTACCTTAGGGGCATACCAGATGAACCACGTCTGGGCTGTGACCTTCAGGTCACCCGAGGGTAAACGGAAAATCATCGCTGCGGGCGACCTCGTTGTCAAGGGACGGCGATGCGTCGTCGTGGACCCGGCGAATAGGGACGTCCGAGTCAAGATTCATTGGCTGCTTCATTACGTTCCCGACGACGAGGTGAGGGTGGCACTTGCACCGTATGGCCAGGTGTTTGACGTAGGAACTGAGAAGTGGCGGGTTGAAGGAGTCATGGGCTGCGGGTCGATGACACGCACGGCTGTTATCCGGCTCAAGCCAGGGATAGGGTTGGAAGACCTGCCCCACCAGCTGCGTATAGCCGGAGGACCGGCTCTCGTCGTGGTGCCGGGCAGACCCCCGCTTTGCCTGCGCTGTCAGCGGACCGGGCACATCCGCCGGGACTGCCGTGTGCCGAAGTGCGCAACCTGCCACCGGTTCGGCCATGACGCGGATCACTGCATCAAGACCTACGCAACGGCCACATGTTCGAGTGGACAAGACGCCAACGCCGAGCATGTCATGGATGAAGCAGACGCGCAGGAAGCACTGGAAGGGACGGGCCCCGCCACCAAGTCACCGGGAGGCACAGGCATGCAGGTCGACCGGGCCGCGTCTGAGCATTCGCTGAAGGTGGTCGCTGCTTCATCGGTCGACGCACCCACGGGAAACCGGGAAGAGGCGCCGACCAATAAAGACGAGACAGCGACAGGAAATAAACCATCGACGTCGAAGAATGAAGGGCCTGAGTTAAACACTGCGGTCCCACCGGTTAACGAGGTTCACATGGGTGAAGCCAGCGGACTGGCTACGAAACGCCCGCATCCCGAAGACTCCGACTCTAAGCAAGTTGACGGCAGACCGACCCTGGCGGAGGCACCGGCGAAGGCGGCACCGCCTAAAAGGAAGCCGCTTCGCCCCTCTCCGAAACCTGCACCCGAACCCAGGGAACCGGACAAACAGGCCGGTTGAAGCGTCCCCGGGCCAGCTCCTGGTGAGGATACGCAAGTCACTGACACGCGGGGACGTCTAGCCTTAGCGACAGTCTGAAAGTAGCGACGTTAAATGTTCGCGGGTTTGCCTCGCGTCGCAAACAGTACCAGGTTAGAAGGCTGCTAATCGATAATGGCATAGACGTCCTAGCGATTCAGGAGACAAAGGTTGAAAGCGACGAGGCAACCGCTTCCCTGCTGGCCCCTTTTTTACATTACTTTGAGGTTTGCGTCTCTCGTGCCAACGGACTGTCCGGAGGATGTATGTTGTTTTTAAAGAAGTCTTTAAACGCGCGTGACCTCTCCCTCACTGTTGATAGCGAGGGCAGATTTGTTATTTGTGATTGCAGCTTGAGCAATGTCGAATACAGAATAATAAATTTGTACGCGCCAAACGATGTTAATTCCAGGAAAATATTTTTGAGAGGATTTATACGTATCTAGACTGCCAAAGGAAAATCATTATGTTGGGTGATTTTAATTGCGTTTGTGACGTAAGAGATCGCTCTTGTAAGACACGGCAACGTGATATTAGCACGGGTATTTTAAATGAAATGATTTCCGAATTCACTTTATATGATGTTGCGAATTACCAAAGAAATGACCTGGCGTTGCGGTACACGCATTTTCAAGGCACAAGTCATGCCCGTCTCGACAGAGCGTACGTGTCGATTGAACTTTTAACTGGTTTCGATGACTACAGCGTGTCACCCGTTTATTTCTCCGACCATGCGCTGGTTTCTTTCTTTGTCGGGGGAAAACAGAAAAACACCGGCTTCCAATGGGAATTGTGGAAACTTAATAATAGCCTGCTCAAGGATGACGTGTTTAATGAGTCTATAGACGCATTACTAGTGAGGTTGCATGACCGTACAGAGAGCCCCAGTACGAAGTGGGAATGGTTTAAACGGGAGGTCAAGCTAACTGCTATAGAACGCGCTAGTACGCTCGCGTACTGGAAGAAAGCAGAGGAAAAGCTGCTGCTAAATGATCTTCACCGCATTTCTAAACTAGAATGTGAATATCCCGGACAATTTACAGATCAGCTGAGTTATGTGAAACAAAAAATAGCTGAATTTGAAACAGAAAAGTACAAAGGAGCACTCGTAAGAGCTCGAGCGGAGAAATACACTCTGGGTGAACAGCCAACCAAACGGGCACTAAGTGCAGAAGCCAAATATGCAAAAACAAAAAATATCACAATGATAGAACACAATGGCCTATCGACTAGTCGCCCTGCAGTTATTGAAAAGTATTTTATCGAATATTATAGCAGTCTGTTTCGGCGACGGCAGCACGGCAGTGATTCGCAGCTTAAAGATTATCTAGCGGCGATGCCCCGTCTAAGCGATGAGATAAAGGAATGGCTGGAAGCTCCGATAAGTGTGGAAGAAATCGTGCGTGCAATTGATGACCTTCCGTCGAAAAAGTCTCCTGGGCCCGACGGTCTGACGGCGGCTTTTTATAAAAAGTACAAAGACGTAATTTCAGGCCACCTTCATGCTGTAATAATTGAAGCTTGTGACACAAATACGATACCACCGTCTTTCTTAAACACACACACTGTTCTCATACCCAAAGTTGATGATGAAGAGAAATTAAAAAATATAAAAAATTACAGGCCAATAGCCCTTGGTAATGTTGATTACAAGGTTCTAATGAAAGTTTTAGCCCGGCGGTTGCAGAACGTTATTTGTAAGATTGTGGGTGAGCATCAGACTTGTGGTATCAAAGGTCGTTCAATTCTGACAAATGTTCACATTGCGCGAAGTATATTAGAGGTATGTGACGAGGAATTAGATCAAGTTACCATGATTCAGATCGATCTAGAGAAGGCCTTCGATCGTGTACAGCACAGTGTATTGTATAAAATATTACATCACGTTAGAGTAGGCAAAATAATATTGAACTTCGTTCGCTTGGCATATACAGGATGTACTACCCAGCTAATAATTAACGGGAAGCTTACAACGCGTATTAGTGTAGAGTCATCCGTCAAGCAAGGTTGCCCATTGTCCCCGTTGCTATTTAGTTTATTTCTCGAGCCCTTTTGTAGAAACATAATTAAAAATAGACTTATAAATGGTTTTTCTCTCCAAGATATAGAAGTAAAACTTCTAGCTTATGCCGATGATGTTGCTGTTTTTTGCAAAGATAAGAAAAGTATTGTCGAAGCGGTGCGTGAAGTAAAGTCCTACTGCGAGTTAACCGGCGCTGCCGTTAATTGGCAGAAATGCTGCGGCCTCTGGCATGGGACATGGGCCACGAAGCCCGAAGTCTTTGAAGATATCTGTTTTATGTCAACGCCAACTGAGTATCTTGGTGTTCCATTGCAACATTATAAACGATCAAATGAATACTGGTCAACGGTGATTCAAGAGACGCGAGAGAAAGCGGGTAAATGGGGTGGTTGGGATATGTCAATTTTTACGCGTGTCACTGTTTGCAACATTTTCTTAATTGCAAAATTTTGGTATGTACTTCAAGTTTTGGCTTGCGCTAGAGTAAATGTACAAAAATTACACCGTGTTTTTGCTGTATTCATTTGGCGGTCTGGGTGGGAAAGATTATGTCGCGATAATCTGTTTCGCTGCGTCAAGAAAGGCGGGCTGTCCCTATCACATATATTTGTTAAGCAAGTTGTATCGCGGTTTTTGTTTTTTAGAGAGCAAACTAATCCTTTTCTTCGTGCTGTCATTCAGACCAGACTCGCGGAGGAAATTCCTTCGTTCGTTGTTTCTACGTGTTACAAAAGGCAAAGGCGAATTGGTAGTTTTCTTCGCGAGGTGATTGATGCTTGCCGGTTTTTGACTGTACGGTTCTCTTTTGAATACTTGTCAGCTGTCACCCGAAAACGCCTTACGCGAGATATTATAGATGCTGTCTTTCCTGTTCCTGTCTACCGTTCTATGTTTCATGCTGGCCCAGGGCAGGACGTGTTATCTAGAGTTAAGAAAATGTCTATCCCACCTTCTGTTAAAACCTTCTTCTTTAAATTACACACAAACACTCTCCCAGTAAAAACTTGGCTTCATGAGAAAAAACTGTTCGTCCCTTGGGGCGTTGACTGTCTGCTGTGCAAAAAGCCCGAAACTACAGAACATGTATTTTTAGACTGCTGGGACGCCTTTCTTTTTTGGGATGTTCTCCAGAGAACTATTAAAAAAGATCTTACTTTAACACCGCATGGTATCAGGTTCCTTCCTGTTCACAAAGACAGCGAAATTCCGGTCGACCTTCTTATGCTTCTGGGCCTGCATGCAATATGGTGCAGTAGAATGGCTGTAAGGCATGCTGATGTGGACGCGCGTCCCGTTCGATTGTATTTTACGGAATCTGTTAGCCGCCTGAAATCTGTGTACGCCACATTAGAGTGTCCGCCCGACTGGGTACCAATATTGGACGCTCTAGAGAACCTGAAAGAATTTTAACATTCATGTTCGAGCCCTATGTGTTGTGCACGCGTTTTTATCATTGTAATTATCATTGATTGTTGAGTTTGTGTTCACTGTCAAAATCGGCAATAAAAAAAAAAAAAAAAAAAAAAAAAGCCCCAGTAGCTCAGTGGGAAAGACGTCCCCTTCGCACCCGGAAGAGCCGGGTTCGATCCCCTGTGAAACTTTTTTTTTTTTTTTTTTCTAAATATTTTTTGATGTCTACATTTCTTTTCTTTTTTTACAATTATTACTGAAGAAAAAAAAAATAAGAAACAAATGTTGTGGACGACACGTCGCTGAATTAGATGGTATGGGATATCCTTTTTGACACCTGCGAACTCAATGTAATCACTTTCCACAAAATGCAAGGAGCATATAAATCAGGTAGCGTCCGCTTTCCGAGGTGCCCGTAAATGGTCTACAGGAATTGCAGCCAGCCATTGGTCCCGATCCCGTTGATCTTTCGGAAACTCTGTCGCACAATGCCACTTCTGTTTCGGACGCGGGACGTGTGAGCCAGCTCTTCACGCAACATCTTGGGTGTATTCTTTTCGGAGCCGATCAAAATTCACCACGGGCACTCACTACTCATCTCCAACTCCTCAATGTACAAAACAACTCATCTTGGAGTAGAGAACAACGAGCGGAACATGCATAACTGCAAAAGAATCCCACGGCGAGCAGTTCCCATACGCCGCATGTCGTCTGCTACCGGAAAGGAGAAAAAAAAAAAAAAAACACACGGTCGGGTGTAGCCACGTGACTTCCGCCACTCCACTCTCTCCTCTCCACTTCTCCGACCTCCGTCGGGTTTCGGTTTCGGTTTCGAGCAGTTGCGTCTTTTGGTTTTATTAAAAAAATACGCTACTCTGTTGCAAAATGTTAATTGGGTAGTCCTCCGACACCATAATGAAGCGCCTGGCAAAAAATTTAAAAAAAATTTTGGGGGGTGTCAGTGTCCCTTTAACGCTTTAAACATTTAGCAGAACATCGTTATTTGTGTGAACCTCTTCTGCGGTTCTGATATTCCTACAGGTTATGGTTTTTTATTAGGTATTTTCATGTGTATCCCCCTGAGAGCTGAGGAAACGCGGGTTGCGGCTTTACATATGGTACCTGGAATGCCAAAGCTCGATCTAAAATGGGTCGTAAAAATCGGCGTCTACACGTAGGAATCTAAACGTTCCGTCAAGGGCGTATTTCACAGGTGGGACTTGCAAAATTACAAGCTCCCATTCTGTAAAAAAACAGGGCCAAAATTCTAGACAGGGTCGACGGCGGACGGTGACGCGGACGACCGAGCCGAGTGGAGGGGCACGTTTAGCGCAAGTATTGATAGATGGCGTGGGGAACAGCGTCGGAAGGTGTAACCACATATGTACACGTTAGCCGCCCCCAAAAATGAAAGACGTTCTCAAAGCTCTGTAATGCGAAACTAGAGCGCAGCTCTTGAGGAGGAGGCGAGAGGGTACAAATGGGAGAGTATGCCTCTCCTCCTTCCTGCGTGCCCTCCCTTCCTCCTTTCCTCCTGCTCCTCCCCTTCTCCGCTCCCCCTCTCCTGCTCCTCCCCTCTTCCTCCTCTCCTTCTACCGCTGAATTTGTTCATGGGTGACGTGACAAGAAATGGTAACGTCATTTTCCCCGCTAAATTTAGCGGGGAAGCTGAATTGGTATTGAGGTCACGTGACTTCAATTTCCCCCCTAAGTTTAGCGGGGAAACTCAAGCCGCTAAATTTAGCGATAAAATTTTCCCACTAACTTCAGCGGGAAACTTTACCCGCCAAATTTAGCGGGGAAGTGTGGCGTCCATAACGACACCGGCGCGGTCACGCCGACCGCGACGCCGACGCCGACGGCGATGGCCCTCAACCCGGAAACGGGCGCCTAAGGGCTGCGCTCTAAAGTGAAACACGTTTACAAACCTCTGTAATGCGAAACTAGAGCGCAGCTCTTGCTGTCCTCCTCCACCCCTCCTTCCCTCCTCCTCCTCCTTTCCTCCTGCCTCTGAATTTGTTCATAGGTGACGTGACACGAAGTCGTGACGTCATTTTCCCCGGTAAATTAACCCGCTAAATATAGCGGGAAATTTTTCCGCTATATTTAGCGGGGAAATCTTTCCGCTAAAGTTAGCGGGGAAATCTTCCCGCTAAAGTTAGCGGGGTAACTTTTCCGCTAAATTTAGCGGAAAAATTTCACAGCTAAACGTAGCGGAGAAACGTTCCATACTGCAACGCGCGCGGTTACGCCGACGCCGACGGTGACGCCGCTTAACCCGGAAGCGGGCGCCTAAGAGCTGCGCTCTAAAAAGTAACTAAATACCGTTACTCACTACTCTCTGGAAAAGTAACTAAATACATTACTCGTTACCCATTTCCAAAAGAAAGGCGTTGCTTTACCTCAAAAGTAACGAGTTATTTTTCTGTTCAGTACGACGGCAAAATAGACAACTGCATATTTTTTTCGTAGTTTACTGTCGTTTTTTTTTGTTTTTTTTTTTTTTTTCAGTAATCGTCGCAGTTGAGCAGCAGTTGTTTCTCGAAGTTTTTATCAGTTATGTTTCCCCGCATCCTTGAGAATACATCTTCGGCGACGCTGAAGAGCTGACGGGCTAGAAGGAACGGCAGTGTTTTGTTTCAAGAAGAGGGAACAAAAGGGATTTTCTCTCCCTTTTGTTCTCGCTGCTTCTGAAGTTCGAAGTTGGCAATGGGTTCTGTGCCTTCCCGTGTTGGCAGCCTGCGGGTTCACATTCGGTATGTACACGATTCTAGAAGGTTCGACCAACGAACCTTATTGTCTTCACTGGGTGTAGGACATATTCCCAGTTGTAGAGTTCGACTGACGTGTTCAGCAATGTAGGTTACCATACTCTCATAGTGTTTAGTTGGTTTACGGTTTTCCCATCTGCTTCGCCATAGACGCATACTCAGGTTAGAATTAAAATGAGGCTGTTTGAACCCTGTTGTACACGTTACTCATAGTAACAAAATAGCGCTACTCGTTACTTGGCCTCAAGAGTAACGACGTACTTTACTCGTTCCTTTTCTGGAAAAGTAACTGGATAGGTTAATCGTTACCGAAAAAGTAACTAGAGAGAAGTAATTCGTTACTAGTAACGCATTACGTACATGTATGGGTGTAACCGACAAGCGAAAAAAAGCGGGCGACATGCAGACGAAACCCGTTGGCAACGAGAGCGCCGTCGTTATGGAACCATGTTTTTTTGTTTTTTTTATCTTTGTTACTTCAGCTGTTGCTATCATTGTCCGAATTTATTTTGAAACAACAGGTACATTTCAAAAATATTATGCTCATTTTAAAAGACCCCGGTCCACGCGGGCACATTTTATACCTTTTTTTAAACGCAAGCTGGAACAAGGAGGTAGCGCCATCTATCAATACGTGCGCGAAACGCGCCCCGCCACTCTATTCAGTCGTCTGCGTCGCCGTCCGCCGTTGAACCTGGCAAGCTTTTTGCCCCTTTTTTTACAGAAAGGGAGCTACGCCTTGCAATCTTAAAAGGTAAACCTACCTGTGAAATAAACGATTGACGAAACGTTTAGATCGCTAGAGCGGGCGCCGATTTTTACGACCGATTTTAGATCGAGCATCGGCGTTTCGGTCACCCTTTATACTCCTTTAGCTTCGTGATTTAAGTTCTTTGGCGTCCTTATCGACTAACGTTGGAATCTCATTGACTGCGGAGAGATAATGATATGCTCGGCGTCTCAAGACGCTCTACGTTTATTAAGCTGTTCGTGAGGCAGTCCTGCTCACCGTACCTTCGCTGGGAAGAACCAGAAGAACGTGTTGCTGCCCAGCTGCTTGTTGACGGTGAAGAATCCCGCGTGGCTCGGCACATCCTCCACGTGCCCGAGGCTGCCCACGCGGCTGAGTGCCTTCGCTTCGTCTAGGTGACCCGCCTCGATGAGCGGAGTCAGAAACAAGGGGTCGCCCACGTCTCCGAGCTGACCAGTGCCCAGGCTTTGTTGTCTGCGATACAACGGGGTGACTGATGTTGTAAGCGTTGAGGAGCACTTGATAGTGGTGACGAACCGGTGTTGGACATGGTCTCGGAGAGAAAGATAAAATGCACGCTTATCGCGCCTTTCGCACTTTTAAAGCGACTGCTTTAATCTTTCATGCAAAGATCTTCTTACGTGCACGTGTTAGTGCTGGTCGCACCGTAGCACACGGCCATGCGAAAGAATATGAGCAATTGAGCGCAGCCGTAGGTTTGACGTCATAGCGCGCGTGACCAGTGGCATTGCGTCGCGCTGAGTGTGGAGGTAAGCAGTGCATTAAAACTCCCCTCTCTCGCCCTGTTCTGCCCCCCCCCCCCCCCGCCCCCCATCTTGCCCCTACGCAGCGCGGGAACGGAGACTGCGTAGCATGGTAGGAACTGCGTATTAGTGCTATAACACGTTCATTGCATTTGACGGAGTGTATAAACCATGCATTTGTTTACGTGTATTTCTTTTAAGTTCTATTTTCACGAAAGAATGGTGCTGACTCTACTGATGGAGAATACAACGTATTGTTCATTTTTTTGTTACCTTCAACCCTTATTAGAACAATCGTATTAAGGATATTTATAGACATAATGATCAGGCAGACAGGCTGAAACGAATTTCATAATTCAAACCGTAAATCAACGCCGAACACGTCATTAATCGGTCAAAGGTAAACCCTTTTATGGATGTCAAATTGGGTACTACGAATTTATAATTTAAGGGCCAGTATTTACAATATTGCAATTACAATATTTTCCGAGTAAGTCAACATTTGAGGATAAAAATATAGATTTCGACTGAATCGTGTTTAATTTAACACATGCCCTGTTATAATATTCACCTCAACATTTACCACGTCAGTGTCATGTGGAAGTGAGTTTAGCACAGCTGTACTTTTAGTAAAAAAACGAGCGCAAAAACCCGGTTCATTCAGCAAGAGCAAATAAATGTATTCGTTTATGCAGAAAGCAGAGCCAGACGTTTTTCCTGACAACTGACACTGTCATGCGTGAAAAGTTCGTTGTTTATGATAATTGTAGAAAACATTCAGCGAACTGTCAATTGTTTTGATTTCATTTAAATCTTGTCAATGAGACTGCTTTTTTTTCATATATACGTTTTTCTTATATATTCTGGAGAGATATATGCCTCACTGGCAAGCTGCACTCAAATAATTTAATATTCCAAATCATCGCCCCACCCCCCTGCCGCTGGGGTGAGCCATGTGTCGCTGTGTACAGAAAAAAGCTTTTAAAAATTCCCTTTTTTGGTACTGATCTAGCCTGGCTGCAAAAGATATATATTAAACTCAAAACTCGAATTAGTTTCATTGTTTTATGCAGGAAATTCTCATGAAAGAACGTTTTACTATCGCAAGGTCTGCTATTCGAATAGGCGCGATGAACACCGTCGATCGGCATACAGCGCTAACGTTTGTTCCGCGAAAGCACGTTTCTAACACTGATATGTTTTCTCCGTTAATAATAATAAAATAGGGATGTCGAATATTCGAAATTTCGAACACGAATCGAATATTTTCCTTATTCGAAACGTATTCGTTTTGAAAATTGCATTTTCGGAAGTTCCCAAATATTCCGCCACGGCCAAATATTCGGGAAAAACGGATAATATTCGCACAGACTGCGAATATTCAAGTAACAAATATTCTGCCTGCCATGCATTTCAATATATGGATAGGTTTATTCACTGAGAGATGCTTATGATACGTGCGTTCTCGGCGTGGCCCTTTTCTATCTGTCCGATGGCGGCAAGACAGGATCAGTTTCGGTTGCTTTTTCACCAAGCTCTTTGTTGTGTGACACTTTTATAGCAATATATGATGTAATTGCGTGTTCTCTAAATTGATACAGTAAAATAAGCATCGGGATTGAAATATAAGCATAAAATATATCTTAAGAGTGTTATCTAATAGAAATGTTTGAAAATTAAAAACAAAAATGGTAATGTGCGAGCAGAACACTGCATTGCCATCGACCACAACTCCTGCCACTCCCGCGCAGTCAAAACTAGGGGTGTCGCGAACCGGCCGCGGTTCGAGTTCGACCAGGTTCGACTTTTTCGAACTTTTAGTGGAAAGTTCGACGAACCTTGTATTAAGGTTCGACTCGTGTGCGCATGCGCGACAGGCTGGCCAGTTGGCTTCAGATTGGATGATAATGGCTAAGAGATGAATTAAGTGCAGCGCTGATTGGCTATTTCACTTAATACAGTACTAAAAATTAAGCTATAAACTTTTTCGGTGATTAGGATTAGTTTATTTTAATTACAACTGTTCACACTATAAAATAACCCTTTGCATGAAAAAAAACTTTTCCAAACCTAGACATGCTTGTATCAAGGTCTTGTCACACTGTCCACAAAGTCGAACCGGTCGAATTTGGTAAAAATGTCGAAGGTTCGTCGAACCGGTTTGACCCAGTCGAACCCCGAAAGTTCGACCAAAAAATCTGGTTCGACAAAAGTTCGCGACACCCCTAGTCAAAACCACTCCAGCTGGGCCGCTGCGCAAGTCTCTCGGTGCTGATACCAAAGTGGCTGAAACCGTCCTCGCTCGAGCGTGCTTCTGAAAATGGCATTAACTGCGGATGATGAGCCACCGAGCAAGCAGGAAAAGAAAGCTTGAGAAAGTCTTCTTCGGCGGTACTACAAAAGACTCTCTCTCGTCGTCGGCAGATCAGTGCAAGTTGTGCGAGCGTGTTCTTCAAACGCCGATAGGGGAACAACCACAACTCTTCAAAATCACATGAAACAGCCCCCTTTGCTGATGGAAGAGTACAGAAGAGATGCAGCGAAAACGCCGTCGAAGAGTCAACTGACACTGGATGATGTACTTCAACAGAGAAAGCAGCCCTTGTAACAGAAGAATGAAAACGCACTTCATCAGAATGTGGCAGAGATGGTCGCCTTAGATCTCCAGCTTACAGCTTTGTTGAAGACCGGGGGTTCAAGGCACTCATGAAAGAAGCCGTGCCTGGCTACAGTCTGCCCTCTCGAACAAGACTGTCGTGCGTACTCGTCCCGCGCCTGTACGACGACACAAGAGCAAAGGTACGGACCGAGCTGCAAAAAGTACTTGAAGACGGAAGAAACACTTTCCCTCTTAGGAGCGATACCTGGACCTCGCGTGCCAACGATGACTTTTTAAGCCTTACGTGTCATTTTCTCACCGTGAAATTTGAAATGAAAAGGTTCACTTTGAACACGTGACATATGCCGGAGAGTCACACGGCAGTGAACATTGATGCATCTTTGGAGCAACTATGCGCCGATTGGGAGATACCGACCGACTGCGTGAAGTACATCGTAACGGACAACGGCCGCAATATCCGAGCGGCGGCCAGGCGGCTGCCTTGGTTCGAGTGAGCCAGTTTCGCGCACACAGTGCAGTTGGTGATTAGCGATGCGAGGACGCGTACCCCGCCTATCAACGAAGTGTGCAAGAAATCAAGATCGATTGTAGGACGTTACAAGCATAGCCCTAGTGCACATAAACGGCTGGACGGTCTGCAGACACAGCTGAACAAAGCTTACGTGCTTCATGTTGTCCAGGATGTTGACACAAGATGGAATAGTCAGTACCTCATGCTCTCAAGGCTCCTCGAACTCAAAGAAAGAAGCCCTCACTTTGGAGCTTTCCACTTCGGACACTACCATAGATGCTTTAACTCTGTCGAGTCGAGATATGCAGTGGAGTTTGTGGAGGTATTGAAGCCCTTGTTTGATGTAACTGTGATCACAAGTGCTGAGAGTACCCCTTAGTGTCATGTCACATTCTAAATATTTTTGGAATGCTGCATTGTTTTGACGGTTGCAAAAATAACTCGGGGTTTGCTGACAATCTAAAAAAATGTATCAAGACTCGCTTTGCGGAGTGTAACTTTCATGAAGTGGCCAGCCTGGCCATGTTTCTTGACCCTCGTTTTAACGCCACAGTGCGTCTGGCCACATAACCTGGCTCCAAGACCTTGTGACAAGGGAGCACCAGACAGCTGACGTAGAACCGAGTGGGGACACTGCCATGCCAGCGTCGTCTTCGTGTTCACTGGTGGCATCCAGTGTATGGAACGCGTTTGACCATCTAGTGATGAACAAGAAGACTGAATTGGCATCTGCCCCAGAGAGGGGAGTTACCAAATACGCCGAAAAGCCTTATCTGGACAGGGGCAAGGATCATTGCGAGTGGTGGCAGTGCATTGGCCGCTTCAAGAACCCGCATTTAAGGAAACTCGCTCAGAAGTACTTAGCCATCCCGCTACATCAGTTTCGAATGAAAGGGTCGTTTCTGCAGGCGGAAATGTTGTCACGGTGCATAGGGAGCGCTTACTTTCCAAACACGTTGAGCAGTTAATTTTCCTACATGATAATTTGTAATGACTGCATTACTAGAAGTATCTTTAGCCTGCTGCAGCCCAGTAAAATGCAGTTGCATTTATTTATTTTTAAAAGAGAATAAAATCTGCTGATACCCCTTGTTTTGCAATATTTTATTACTAGACATATTCGACATTCGATTCCATACTCTAAGTCAGCTTTTTGCCTTATTCGTATGCGATTCGTATTCGAAAATTTAAATATTCCCACACCTCATAATAAAAGTAAGTGAAAAAGAAAATCGAGAAACCAACCAGGCGCAACGGGCAGACGAAAAGACCGACGAAGTGCGGTGCTGAAGAACCGGGAAAGCCGGCGATCGCGTTGGCAAATATTTTGGCATCTGCCCAGTTTGGGCGCCCGACAATCGCAAAGAGCAGGCTCTTACTCAACTTTCTTGCCTGGCGCACTCATCCGTGTGTACGTGGTGGCGAGCTGTCAACGCGTGTTTAGGTGCGTTGCTGCGTGGCGTGGACGACACCACGAACACGAAGCTCGAAATGAGATGCTCTACAGACCGATAATAAGGTGCTCGGGACTCACCCCTTCTTGCGTTTCTTAAAGGGAAGCTACGGAGCTTCTTGGAAAAAATGAGTTAGAAGTGAATTCTAGTGTATTTTTAACCCGTGAACCCGAATACCCAAACCATTTGCTGCGTAAGTATTGTTAAATGCGAGAAAAACGCGAAAGACAGTCGCTGTCCGTGACGTCATCGACGGCTCTTTTGGCTGCCCAAGGCTAGGGAGGCGGGGCTTCAGTCCTATTTTGAAATTGCTCGTATGGCTCTCCGGCGGGTCGCATTGAAATACAATTTTGATATCTGTTAATCTAAAGGCCAAATGAACGCAATTCAAGCGTTTTTTCTCAAATATAAAAGTGCCCCATCTTCCCTTTAAGCTTTAAGTGACTAAAGTTTTAGTAGTGACATTCGTATTGCCAGGGCTACAAAAATCCCAGCACTGGTGTTGCCTAGACGTATAAAGTGATACATTCCTATTTTTGTACTTCAGCCATTTTGCTGGTTCCCAGATAAGACCTAATAGACAATGAATCGGCAAATTACAGGTCACAAATTAATCGGTAAGGAATACGCGTCGGTTTGCAACTTACAGGCGAAGGGGACAAAATCAGTGATTATGTTGAGCAAGGGCTGGGCAAGTGGTCGATTCACCCACCGATTAATCGAATAATGCTTTAACGGCGATTAACTATTTTAACCGGTTAATCGGTAAAATGTTGGCGAATAAAAAAAAAAAAAAAAGTAAAAATTAAACGCTTCCACCACCCAGACGTGGACGAGAACACCTGCGTGCAGGGCAAACTATGGGAGAAAGTTTAACCTAAAGTAAACTGTAGGGGCCAGATATGTAACTCCAAGTATGTGTGCAGAAGCTACGCGTTTTCTGGTCACTTCAACGCATTACGAGTGTCCGTTTAGAGCAGCAGAAACTGTTCTGAACAATCAAAGGAAGTCGCTCTTGCCGGACAATATCAACGAACTTCTTTGCCTTATGTAGCTGTAGTAATAATTTGTTAGTGGGAGTGTCTTTGAACCTGTTTCACCTATACACTGACTATCCTCATAGGCACATAAATATAAAAAAATATATAATTTTGACTCCTAAAAAAATTTTGCAGGGGAATTAAAGAAACAGATTACTCTATTACTTGATTGACTACAGGGTAGCGATTAATCGGACTAAACTTTTTACTCGATTCCCAACCCCAGTGAAACCCCGAGCCGCGACGAGGACTGAGTGCATGCAAGCTAGAGAAAGAAAAGAGATTACTGCTCTCGCACGAGTTCGAGGGGTCCAGACGAAGGGTTACGAAGCCCACTTATCAACTCGAAATGATAATACTTTATATAATCAAATATGCTGTGTGCGAACAAAGAATCCTTCCTGCGATTACTTAAATAAAGTACAGGAAGCTTGACCAAAAAAAAAGGATTGAAAAAGGGACTGATTTCTTTTCCATTTTTTTTAATACGATACGGTTTATTGGGGTGCATGATAGAAATTAATGAACTCCACTTTGAATCTTCAGGCGTGTAACTAATGCAAGTCGGTGTCTTTATCGCGTTTTCGAGGTAATACGAGTATTCATTCCCCCTAAACCAGATTAAAATATACGCTGAACTATGGTGGTCCCCCGTTGGAGCTAAAAACACCGTGTTCAATGAACTCCCTTTCTTTGGATGTCGTTCTCCGTTGGATGTTTATTGCGACAGTAGGTACATTTCCTTTCCTATGCATATCCTCCTAATATTACTTCCTGCAGAATTTTCTACCTGGATGTATCTTATTTTAAGCATCGTTTTGCTGACTTTTGTTTGTATTCTTTAGCGGCAACCGTGCCCTTATGTCACTGATAATGCAAAGAAAATTAACCGAGATGATCACAGCAATGTCGAAGTGGTAAATAACACTAATAAAGAAAGTTCACCTACAAATGCGATTTATAGCAACTTCTCAAATCACCATATTCGCAAGGAGTTATACTAATGCAATAGTAAACATCTAAAAAACTAGCTTCGAATTATGTTTCGCGCACTCTGGCAACACATGTATCATCTTGAAGGCCACACGCACACATTTTAGCTGGATTGCCGTTTTCGCGTCAGCACGCGCCTTTAGCAAATTCAGCACGGCGCTTCTGGTGCTCGCTTCACTTATCAACCTGATAGAGCTCGATGTCTACTGCTAGTTGGATTTTCGCGCTTCTTTGCATTTAAGGCATTCAGTGTTAACGGGATCAGTGTTAACGTACCGGGATCATATAAATAACGCGCCTTTCATTTTGTAGAAAAATGATAAAATATGCGGCCACGCACTCACCCATAAGTTCTTCTCAGTGACATCCATGCCTGAGCGCCGGCAAAGAAGCAACAGATCACTAGAAGTATCTTCATTCTTTTCCACTTCCAATTAATGGATTAAACGCTTTTGCTCCTAATTACGATATTCTAATAAACCGATGCTGCCCCGGTGCTGCTTCGGCCCTCTTGCTTTGAACGGAGGGCTCTTTCTACCTACGCAGCTCACGTTGAACGTCCCTGAAGCCAGCAACTCTAGCCGATTGCGGTTATCAATCGGAGGGAGGTTTCAGTTTCGTTCTCGTGATTCTATCTTCGAGTCGAGGCAGTGCACGCTTTCGCTCGAGACTTATGGAATCTCGGGCGATAAACAGGGTTCTTTTATCAGTTGGAGTGGTTGGGGTCGGTGTCACGTGATCGAGACAATGTTATCATCGATGGGAAAGCCTCTGTAGCTCTTACGGACACAGTTTTCTGTTAGCATAAAAACGAAATCTTAATGAAGCTGCCGTGAAATGAAATATAAAAAAAAAAAACACTTTTCTCGCATCAAAATAATAATAATAATAGTTGACGTGGGTCATGATTATTAGGTGGCCGTGAGGTCTCCAGGTAACCATCATGCCGGTAAAGACTTGATTTTTGCTTATACAAGAGCGCAAAAGTATTATTTTTAACCTCACGCAAAGGGGGTTGGTAGGTGTTGCACATCAATGTTGTTCTTGCGGGCTGTGGTTTGGTGCTGCACATCACCCACCTTCTTGATGTGCACCTTTTCGCTGATGTTTTGACTCAGTGACACGAGTGTTTGGGACCACATAGGGTTATGACATTTTCGTCGTACTACTGCGGAAAAAAGTTAAAACTTGCGCTTGAAGTTCTCCCCAATTTGTTGCTTGTTGGCGCAAACTTCCACTCCTCTCTAAACCTGTCGAGACGCAGAAGTTTGTTGCGAAAACAGCAGGGTTGCAGCCTTCCATAAGCTCGCTCTTATTGCCGGTGGTAAAAACGCCCCGCGATTTCAGCTCCTTTTTCATGTCTTGCACCTTCATCACTGCCATCGAGCGAAAAGGCGATCAGGAGAGCACAAAGGGAGCAGCGTCAGTTGTGAGGAAAGATCAGGCTGGCTCACCCTTAGCATATCAAGGCTTTGCTAAGCCTACTCGCTTACCGCATGCGATTCGTGTTTCTCTGAGCCCCTTCCGGTGTCGCAGGTTCGATAGTCCCCGCCACCAGATGTCCGTTCACAAGAGTTTTCCCATCTCAACCGTTTACTGCGTTTAAAATGCCCGCAAATCAAAGAAAGAAACTTTCGTCCCAGAACCGGGGAAGCAAAGTTCCTCCGTCGCCCGCATCTCATTATGGCGGCCCCGAATCTAACAAATCGAGCTCGGTAAGGCTTAACGAGGACGCTACGTCTCTTGTACGGGACAGGGGGAGCAGCAAATAAGAGCGTAACGCGAGCTTTCCGCGAACTGTGTTTATTTCCGAAGCCAGCTTCCCCCCACAGGCAAAGACACTTCCGTTTCAAAAGCAGTTACTCAGTTTTCTCATCGTCAGCTCTGCGATCTTAAACGGAGACAACCGATTCCCAGTTACTTCGCGCACTATACGTCTTACCTTTGCTATTTTCGAGTCACAATTCCTTCGTCAAACGCACATCACGGAGGAATGGCAAACCAATCCGCGAAACCAAAAGCTGCTCTCAAAAGAACGAACTCGATGCCGCTGTTTATCGCGTAGCGTGAAAGAAGGTTAAATTGCTTGCCACCAGATGGCAGGGTCAAGCAGGGTAATTGCAAGTAACTAGGCTAGGTGGTGCTAGGTACCGCCCAATTATTGTTTTACAAAAATATTTTATTTGCTTAGGCTATTATTACGTTTCGGGATCCTCTACAATACACACATGTACACACATTACGCATACTACAAGCATCAGGTGAACATACATTGTACATTGAGCGCACACACATACATGGCAATTACAAACATCAATACAACGGCACACTAACCCGAACTCTACACCAGAGCTCCGCGTTTCCGTCTTTTATACTGGTCGTTTGAACGTACGGAATTTCTCGGTGACTGCCTAAGCAATGAAACATGTTCCCAGCATGTTAATATCTTTGTAGCAATGTCATACCGCTGAGAGTATCTTGAATGGCCCAGGGGATGAACCTCTTATTAAAAAGTAAACGCTTGATCATGCCATAATTATTTGAAAGCCAATAAATCAAGCCGTTCCAATGCGGTTCGAAGCCATGAATTTGTGTTATGTACATTTAATTACACTGAAGCTATGTACATATATACAGGTCAGGTTCGGGACAGTACATGATGGACTGGCGGTTCGATCAGCGGTCCGAACTGCACGAGCACGAGCACTCACAAACCTTGTCACTCGTCGTCTTCTTCCATTGACGCGAAGGTACGCTCGCATTCGCGCCTAGCAGGCGCATATCTTACACTCCTCCCTACTAGACTAAGGCACATAGTCGTTAAGATAAGTAGGGCGGCGTGTTGCTCTTTGAGGTCTCGAAGAGTTGCTAGGGGAAACTGTTGTAGAACCAGCTGGTTGGACTGCTGGTGTGGCATCGGACCTAACGTCCGCTTCTTCGGAGACCGCTTCAGGTAGAGCAGTTAAACTCAAGTCAACTGAAGAGTTATCTTCCGAGTTTCCTGCAGAAGTTGTCGCTGGCCTCCTGCGCAACTGGTCAACATGGCGACGCCAAGATCGTCCATCTTCGGTTTCAATCCTATAGGATAGTGGACCGGTCACGGCTGTGACTACTCCAGGGGTCCACTTGGCACCGGACAAGTAATTTCTTGCATAAACGTTTTCACCTACTGTAAATAGTCGTGCCTTCTTCCCTTCCTGGAGAAACTTGTCCTCTTGTTTCCATGATGAATGGAACTAAGAATCTGGATGCAGGCGATCTAATGCTGTTTTCAGGCGTCGGTTCATCAATAGTTCCGCAGGACTCCTGCCCGTTGAGGAATGCGGCAGTGTTTGTTGACGGAACAAAAATCGCGCCAAATCGACGTTTACGTCGCCTGAATTTATGTGAGTGAGTGCCTCCTTGGTTTCTCTCACCATTCGTTCGGCCTGGCCATTCGATGAAGGGTGGTAAGGTGCCACTGCCACGTGTCGAATCTGGTTGCGGCTTGTAAATTCCTTGAATTCGGCCGAAACGAAGGCTGTGCCATTATCACTGACAATGACGTCTGGCACTCCGTGTACGGCAAACAGCATCCTCAGTTTCTGTACGACGGCTGAGGAAGACATAGAATTCATAATACATACATCGAGCCATTTCGAGAATGAATCGACCACGATCAGAAAGATCTTTCCCTTGAAAGGTCCTGCAAAGTCAACGTGTAGACGTGACCAGGGATGTTGCGTCGTCTCCCAGGGATGCACTGGTGCCCGTGGCATTGATGGTCTGTGTTCTTGGCATGTGGAGCAATTTGCAGCCTTTTCTTCAATGTCATGGTCGATGCCAGGCCACCAGACTGTACTCCTCGCTAGTGCCTTCATCCTTACAATGCCTGGATGGGCTGTGTGTAAGATGTCGAGTACAGTGGATTGTGCCACTTTGGGAATAACAAGCCGGCTTCCCCAAATGATGCATCCCTTATAAGTTGATAGTTCATCTTTCCTAGTTGTATAGGGTTTGAACTGTTCGTGTTGCTTGTCATCTGGCCACCCATGCATGATCCAGCGCTGGACTCGCGCAAGCACGGAATCTTTTCTCGTGGATGCTGCAATTTTTTCGGAGTTCCAAGGCTGTTCTGGAGCGGTCTCTAGCATCCATACGTCTGCGACTGGAATGTCGTCCAGCTCTGTTGCAGGTATAGGCAGTCGACTGAGTGCGTCAGCGTTTCCTATCTTGCTTCCCGGACGGTACTGCAGATCGTAGTGGTATGCGGCTAGCATTAGAGTCCACCTGAGAACTCTTGGTGACACCATAGCTGGAATTTCCTTGTGCGGACTCAGCAATCCTAGCAGAGGCTTATGATCGGTGATTATGGTCACCGGGCGGCCATAGATGTACTGGTGAAACTTTTTGACACCATATATGATCGCCAGGGCCTCACGATCAGTTTGCGAGTAATTTCGCTCAGCTTTGCTTAGGGTTCTGGACCCGTAAGCTATTGGTGACTCTTGCCCAGAGTCGGCCACGTGACTCAAGACAGCTCCAAGACCGTAAGGCGAAGCATCGCAGGTCAATAATAAAGGCTTGCTGATATCGTAGTGAGCCAGAACTGCCGTTGATTTGAGCAGTTCTTTCGCCTTGCGATAAGCCTCAGCTTCGAGAACGGTCCATGTCCAGCTCGCCCCCTTATCCAGCAGTCTGTACAACGGCTCCAAGGTGTGAGCAGCTCCCTTGAGGAAACGATGGTAGAAGTTAAGCAAGCCCAGGAATGACTGTAGTTCCTGTTTGTTCTTGGGCTCTGGAGCTTCATGAATGGCCTTGACCTTGTCTTCAGTTGGTCGCACCCCGTCCTTGTCAATCCTGAATCCCAAAAACACGACTTGCATGGTGTTGAACGTACATTTTGCCTTGTTAAGGCGTAAACCGTAGATGGTTTCAGCCTCTGATTTGGAATATGAAGTCGTGCCATTGTTCTCCTGCTTATGACAGAGAACATGCATCCTGAGTCAACCTCCATGGCTGTTGGCTGTCCGTCGATGTCGACGTCTACGAGGATAGCAGGTTCGTTGGACGAGAGGTTGTACAGCTCGTACATCTTGGTGGTATCGCCGTCTAAAAGATCAGCTTGCGCCGTCCCCCGTCTTGCTCTTGGAGGACTTTTCTTAGCCTTCTTTTGAAGACAGGCTTTGACAATATGTCCTTTGCGGCCACAGAACAGGCATGTGGCGTTCTTGAAGTGGCAATCCTGAGGAGAGTGTGCCCCGTTGCATCGATAGCACACGGAAGTCGCTTGCTTGGTTTCAGGCTTCGCATGATGTTGTGCAGGCGGTGACGGTCCAGGTCCATCTTTAGCCACGCTGTGGATTTGGCTGACGTCCTTAGGCGTAGTCCTAATCTCCATGGCATTGTTCTTCGCACATTCCGCTGCTATTGCCAACTTCTCCGCTTGAGCCAACGTAAGCTCGGCTTCGCTCAGCAGACGTCGTTGCAAGGCCTCATCTTTAACTCCACAGACAATCTGGTCGCGCAAACTGCTGTCGAGGGCGTCTCCGAAGTTGCAGGTAACTGCAATACGGCGTAAGTCCGCGATGAACGCAGCCATGGGTTCGTCGCTGTGCTGTGCCCGCTTATGAAACTTAAAGCGTTCCACGATCTCCGAGGGCTTTGGTGCAAAGTGATTTCCCAACTTCTTAATGATGTCAGCGTAGTCCGTCTCTGAAGGTGTCGTTGGCGCGCAGAGGGAATGCAGTATTGCATAGGTCTCGGCTCCGCAAACGCTGCAGAACACGGCTCGCTTCAACTTGGGTGTAGCGATCCCATGGGCTTCAAAGTGGAATTCCAGCCGTTGAAGGTATAATGGCCATGTCTCCGGCTTACCTGCCTGGAAAGCTTCAAATGTCAGCGATGTCCTTTCAACCATGATGAGTTGCCGGAGTCTCGCCCGCTTTTTTCGATTTCCTCGTCGCCAAATTTGTTATGTACATTTAATTACACTGAAGCTATGTACATATATACAGGTCAGGTTCGGGACAGTACATGATGGACTGGCGGTTCGATCAGCGGTCCGAACTGCACGAGCACGAGCACTCACAAACCTTGTCACTCGTCGTCTTCTTCCATTGACGCGAAGGTACGCTCGCATTCGCGCCTAGCAGGCGCATATCTTACAATTTGTTTCTTTGCACGGCACGTCGTAGCCTGTATATCTATTGTAGTGTTTGTTTTTTCTATTTGTGCTGTTCGCGCACGGCTGCTGTTGCCGTCTTGAATTAATCTCTGTAGAGCGGATATTCACTCAGCTGGAAGTGATGCTTCACGGGCAGAGAAATCGCTTTTCGATCAACTTGAATGCAGTCAAAGCCGCGACTTGCGGCAGGTGTTAAGTGTACGGAGCTACGCCGTGGCGAGCTGGAAATCTTCTAGCGCTCATCTCAGGGCGCCACTTGGAGGGCAGTTTCTCCAGGAACCGTAATATATTTATACAGCAAAATAAAGGGTAGCTTGTTGTTTTCTTTTTTTTTTTTCAATGTTACCTACTATCCTTTTTTAATGCTAAAATTCCACACTGTAAATATACGCACTTTCCGTCATAATTTTCTACTGTTCAGTCCATTCCCCAGAGTGCAATCGCTCTCGGGGAGCAGACAACCGACAGTCGCATCGGCCACTGTACGATAGGAGCTTATACTGCTCAGACCAGCGTTCCAACATGGCAATCCGTGCGTCGATTGATTACACCTAATCCCTCAAGTGGTATTAAACTCTTTAATGTAAAGCGGAATGTCAACCTGTGGCACCCCGCCCCTCCGATCACGGCCCGACCAGCGACATAAATGCCCGACGGTTTACGTCATTTCATCTTGTTGTTACACCACTGATACGCGAACACACGGTCACATCGGCGATAATTCCAGTCTTCTATTCACAGCGTACAACACAGCCATCACGATGTTGCTGCTATGTTGCTGACACGCAGAAATACAGAATCACGTTGATTGCCGGTTGGCACTCGGCATCGGAAAACAGACCCGAACTCACGGAAGGCACCCAGGCAGCCGGCAGCCAAACCTGTCTGTCTTGGATGCAGTTCCTGCGATTTCCATAACGTCGAAAACGTCGACATAGTTCCGCGTGGTTCCGCTACTGTAGTTCCGCGTGGGCAAGGAGATTAGAAGGGTAGGAGGGGGCATGACGTCAGCCGTGTAGCCTCCAGAAGCCAGGTTTCCTTGACGTGTTTAGGGGTTAAAAGCGCTAAAAATGACGGACAAGGAGGAGAGACACACACCACAGAGCGCTCTGTGGTGTGTGTCCCTCCTACTCGTCCGTCGTTTTTAGCGCTTTTAACTCCTAAACATGTTCCACCAAATAGCCCAAATCCAAACCCTTCTGCAATTCACTTGACGCGTCGCCTGTTTCTCATTTTCCTCTTTACCCTCCCCACTTATCGGCACTGCACGTGACCTACCGGACGGAGCTGACAGAGCTGCTTACGCCTAGCCTTCGATCTGATAAAACTTACCGGACGCAGCGCGCGCAAGCCTGCAAGGAATCCTACTACAATCAACCACCCATCTCGCACGTGACATGTCACGCGCACCAATTGCCAAAGAGATATGGGGTTCACGTTGAAAACAACATCGTTTAAACTTTTTTATGACTAGGCTTCACACATATTGCAACGTGCCCCCTCCTAGTACTTATAACTTCCTTGCGCGTGAGTCCTGCAATCCAGAGACGGCCAACTTACCCAGTGTACGTAGCGCTGCTGGCACTGCTCCTGAACTTCTTTGTTTCTAGCGGCTTCGTTTGCTCGTTTCATAAAATTATGGATAAAAACGTCAATGCAACAGAAATGATCTCTACGTTTGGACTAGAAGACGGAATTATAGGTGCCCTTCGCTGCCGTTGAAGCTCAATCAACTCAACAGCATTTATTAAACAACGTGCACGACGTGTTCGAAAAACAAAACCAAAAGAAGATGAATCGGGAAGGCGAAAGCTTTTTCCCGTCTGCCTGGACATTTCGTTCCTCCCTTTTTCTCGTGTCCGCTTGAAAACGCGTCAGTAGAAGGAAGGAAGACGCGCCGTTGCTACCTTTTTTTTCAGCTTTTTCTTAGAGCGCAGGGCTTGCAAAGAAGTGTTTTTCGGGCCAGCCGACCCGCCGTAAACCTTCTTCAGTTGTCGAGAAAAGCCTGGAAAGGAGCTTGGTAGCACCGTCACCTCCGTGCCCGTGTTGACATTCAAGTGCACCGCGTAGCCGGTGACGTTTAACGAGATGAACCTGGCTCGGCAACTCAATGCGACGGAGTGCAGTTGGAGGGAGCTCAAGCCGCTCTTCTTCTTTCAGAGTGCGCCAAAGTGACCTAACCGCTTGCAGTACCGGCACTTCGCATGTCTAGCGGGACACTCGGAGCGTTGATGGCTCTCTTTCCCACAAAACCGGCAGTTCTTCGCGGCGGAATTAGATGCCAACGACTCCTCTCCTTTGCGAAGCTTCGGTTTCAAAGACGAATTTTTCCGATGACCTTACTTGACCTTCACCTCGGCGACCACATCTGAAGAATCCGACACATTCTGAAAAACTTCGATTCGGGCCTTCACGGCGTCCTCGTGAATTCGCACCTGTAACCTTGCTTCCTCTAGCGTAAGCTTCGGACAGCATCAGGGCTTGTCCGAGAGACGAGAATTCAGAAGACCTACGTCGAAGCGGTTTCGCACCCGACGGTCTTCCATAGCCGCGGACAGGTAGTGCCATTTCTTGATTAGTGTACGAAGCGCGGGGTAAAAGCTGTCCACCGACCCACCAGCTCTTGGTCTCGACTGTGAAACCAAACGCTCTCGTAGACCTCGTCCAACAGACGACTGAAGTGGTCGTTGAACTTCTGTTTGATAACTTCTACCGAGCCCCAGTCCGCGGGAATCAGCGTGAGCGGTTCAAGGATGCGACGTGCTTCCTTGAACAGCATGGCGTAGAGAAGTGTTCTCATCGGAACTTCGCCAGATGTTCGATGCAGTCGGGGAGCGTAGCTCTAACCTTCGAATTGAATCACCCATTGCTTCCGAGTGCTGGGATTCGAGAAGTAGAAGTTCGGAGAAGGCGTTAGTTCCGTGGCACCGAAGGGCTGATGGAGCAGTGCCGTGGTGGCGTCGGAGATAGCTTTGTTCTCTGCCATGGTTTGACTGTGGCATTCAGGTTACGT